GTCAGAGGCAATGAGATTGGCACAGGATAGAGCACGGTTTAGGGCTGTTGTACATAGGGTCGCTATGAGTCGCAAACGACTCGACGGCACATAACAACAAACAATGATATTGTAAGCCTGAAAAGGATGAAACAAGGCTACTCTTTAGGGGCAAGACTTTTGAAGATTTGTTGGACATATTTAGAGCATGTTGTAAGGAAGGACCAGTCCAAGGAGAGGGCTATCATGCTTGGAAGGTTGGAAGGATAGCACAACATAGGAAGACCCTGGATGACATTGATTGACTCAGTGACTGGGGTAATGGGAGTAGGTGTGTCAGCGACAGTGAAATTGGCTCAGGACAGAGTGGGATTCAGAAATGTTGTGCATAGTATCGCTATGAGTCAGAGTCAACTTGACGGCACATAACAACAACAAGACTTTGCTTAAATTAACCTGAAGACACATAAGTAGTATATTGACAGAAGTTCAAGCCAGATTAAAAAGAGAATGTGGAGTAAGGGATACTTCATTGATCTCAGATGTATTTTTGGCTAAAAGCAGAAAAAAATATACCAGAGAAATATTTGTCTGTGTTTTACTGACTGTACAAGGACATTGGACTGTGCGAACCTTAAGACATTATAACAAATGGTTATTTCAGAACATTGAATAGAGCCCATGAGGATTCCATGCCTAGATCACAAAGTTGGGCAAACAGTAAAAAGGGATAATGCATGGTTCAAGACCAGGAAAGTCATATTTCATTCTTGTATAATTTCATCATACCTGAACTGAATAAAACTCTGACATGTTTGAACACATATTTTTAAAACAACAACAAAACATTGGAACTGGAGAAAGACTCATTAACAGTCTGCCATAAATAAAGGACACAAGCTTATAAAGAAGAATAATATTTGAAGATTAAAGTCTCCAATATACTTCAACATAAAGAAAAGAAAAATTCTCACAACTTGACCAAGAAACAACATCATAATAAAGGGGGGAAATGTTGATGTTGTCAAGGATTTCATTTCACTTGGATCCATAATTAGCATCCATGAAGACAGCAGCTAAGAAATCAGAATAAGTGTAGTTTGGGGCAAATATGCTAAGAAAGTCCTTGTTGAAGAGTTAAAAAGTAAAGATGTCACTGTGAGGAGCAAGGTGTGCCCGATCATGATATTTTCAATCCTCTCACATTCATCTGAAATCTGCACAATGAATAAGTAAGGGTGAAGAAGAATTGATACGCTTGTATTAAGGTGTTAAATCATTGATGAACAAAAAGTGAATAAACCTGTCTTGAAAATGCATAGCCAGACTATTTCTTAGGAGTCAGGATAACAATAATTCTTCACAGATTTTGGATTTGTCATCAGTTAGGATGTGTCCTTGGAGAAAGGCAAGACATTTGGTTAGGTGGAGAGTCAGTGAAAAAGAAGATCCCTAATCAGATGGATTGACACGGTAACTACAACAATGGGATTAAACATAACAGAGATGATGAGGATGGTAAACACTGGAGGGTGAGTTTTTGTGTTTGTTAGTTCTGTCCTTTTCTGTAGTACATAGGATAGCTAAGAGCCAAAACCAACTTGACAGCACGTCCTCCAGTGGCTTATTCACTTGAGTCCAAGGAGTCAGAAATATGAAAATCAGAAAGCTAGTTGCTGCCAATCCCAACTCCTCGTGACCTTACAAATATGGTCAAAATGAAAAAGAAAAAAAAACAACCAAAAATACCCACCCCATAAGGTACTAAAACTTATCATTTTTATGGGAGCAGACTGTGGTATCTTTCATACATGGAGTGACTGATGAATTGGAAACATCACCTTTCAGTCAGAAGCTGAATATTTAACCTTTAAACAAACAGGAGTTCATCATCACAGTCATTAAAACACACAAACAAAATAACCACTAAAAATGATAAATTTTAGATGATGATATTGTTTCATGTTATTTCATACAAATATATCAATTCTTTTCTCAAGATGAAAGCATTATGAACAAATGAAACCTTTGGGAAACTGTTGCACGTTAAAAAATATCTTATTCTGAGATATTGTTTTTAGTTCTTTGAGAGATACTGAAGCTACAAGCATAAGGATGGATAGAAAAATGCCTTGATCTAGGCCTGAAGAAAGAGTTAGTTGCATTTTGCTCATCATTATTCTTTAAAATACTCATTAAATTGTTTGCAGTCAGTTTTCATGGATATATTTGGTCTTCTTAGAAACATATGGAAATGCATATTTAATCTGACAGTGTTTTGCAAATCATACCCCTTCAGAATAATTTGCAAAGTAGAAATATTCCCATCTGTTAGAAGGAGGTTTGCCTATTATACTGAGAGTAGAGAATGCTCTATATACTTAATAACTATATATTATATATACACTCAGTATTATCTAATAATACCATAGCATAAATACTGCATCATGCAACAAAGGATCAGAAAACTAACACTTCTTTAACATTCTTCTAAGCTTTCTAGCTCGTGTCAAGAAGGATGTTTTCCATTCCTTGTTGCTTTTAGCTGCTTTCCTGCTTCTAACTACCCTTATGCTAGTACAATTTCTTTAATAAGCTCTTTTTTTTTGCTTGCTAAGTGCTGCTTTGCATTTCAACTTATTTGATTGTAGTCATCATCTTATTCACTGTCCCTGTGGTATCTTTCAAGCTCTTCCCATGGACAGTGAAGTGATCCCGGGAACTGAGATCCTTTGTATGTACCAAGATGGATAATTTCCTCTGGTGTAATTAACAACCTATAACACTATTTTGGAGGGTCAGCTATGAGTTGGTTCTAACTTGGTGGCAATGAGTTAATTTTTATTACTGGGAGAGGAGACTATGGTTGTCACTAAAGAAGCAAAAGATAATGGTAAACATACTGTGCATAAAATATTCCCACAATAAATGTTTAAATATTACTCAAAATATAACTCATATTGAAGTTGAGAAACTCTGGATTAAATAATTTTTTGCTAGCTGCTGGCAAAGCTTTCTTTACAGATAAAGGGAGTGTGAGAGCTTGGCCAGAGCCACAGGTGGGTGAGTGGGCCTGAGTCCGCCTTAGGGTTCAGGAGAGAGGAATGAGGGGAACAACTACAGCGAGCACCACCTGATAAGTTTGGAGTAAGTTCCACCAAAGAGTTGTAGAGCAAAAAAAATTATAAGAGGGAAAAAAGAGTTGTAAGGCCCACCTCTCCGGTTGAGATGTCATTGTAGATTCTTTTAGTGCTTCCCATGTGTTTCATTTACTGAGTGCCCAGCCCATGTTTTTTATGTCACTGAAATCTCCCAGCAACCCTTGGTATAATTTCTTCCCATTGTGGAGCTGTGAAAACAGCTTCTGATAAATAATGGAGAGTCACAGTTAAGAACAAATTTTAATCGTCCTTTTTCATTGGCAAGAACAGGTGCCGTAGTCTGTAGCGAATTGCTCAGCAAACACAAAGACAAAACTTTTCTGGTGGGTTGACTATACTAGCAGCTCCTGTGGGAGAAAGATGCGTAATCTTTTGTTTGTGTACAGCCTCAGAAATACATAGAAGGGTTGGTGATGAGTTCTTACTTAGTGACAATAAGTTTTGGTTTCTTATTAGCAGCATCTAAGCATTTTAAATTTTGATCCTGTTTCCTAATTTGTGAAATGACAATACATTCTTTGTAATTGTTGTACAGTAGATAGATTTTATAAGGTCTTTCTCACTATGATCTTATACCTCCCACCAAATGATTTGGCTCACCAAGAGGATCAGATTGTGTTCTAACAATGCAAATAAAATGCATTGCACCCTTTTAGGCGGGTGGTGGTGGTTGTTATGTGAAGTACGACCCATAGTGACTCTAGGAACAATGGCTATGAACCTATCCCTATTCTACTTATCAGGCAATTAAGGTATATGGACTTTTATGAGGGGACTGTTCTGTTTGACAGCTTATTAAGCCTAAAATGAAGCACCCCAGTGATGGAAAGGGAAGCTTTGACTACTACCAAGAAGAAATGGTTTTGGAGTGTCTCCTTTGGAGTCTGGTTCCTTGTGATGGGAACCTCCTAGACCTGGGAGTTTGAAAGCTGCAATATCAGAGATGTGGAAAGGCAGAAATGGTGGGAGAAGACCTACTTCTCCTTGAACTTCTGGAGTTAGAGAGCTGGGTTCCTGTGGACAGGGGGTTTGCAGAGTTGGGTACCTCCAGGAACTTATTGGTGGAGTCAAAGAGCTTTGTAATTCTTGCCTGTCTGGTCAGAGTCTGGGCTGGTTCAAGGTGCCCAGGGCCCAAGGGTCAGAGCAAGGCCTATCTAGAGCATCCAAGAAACTATCCTTGCAAAAAACCTGCATCTTGGGTCATTTCTGATTCTGAATTGTAACCTGTTAAATTTTCTAATAAACTCCCTATGAGGATGGGAGGAGGTGGAAGGAAATGTCCTTTCTAAATCTCAAACTCCAAACAACTCAGACTCATTGACAATGATTTGGAATAGACTCAGAGCTAAAACATCAGAGGATTTCAAAAGCTGTAAATTGCAAAGGGAATATTTCCCATCTTTCTTTCTCAGAGGAGTTTGTGGATCTGAACTGCCTACCTCTGAAATGGCAGCTCAACTTCCTAACCAATAGGCCACCAAAGCTCCTAGGCAACCCCAGGTGTTCCTTGGAGTGGTCACTATATTTCCTTTGATGACCTACAAGGCAGTCAGCATCTTGAGGTCAGTTGCACATGCCTCTTGATATTTATAATCTCTGCTTTTTCTAAAGTAATGCTACCCTTTTCCTTCTAAAAGCATTGAGTAAACATGAAACCTTCCATATTGTTGCGGAATGTTGGGGAGGAAGGGGAGGGTCTCTGGCCAGGACAGATCACCTAAGCTCCAGATAAGTGCACGCTTCCCAAAGGCCTTTAATACGGGGTAGAGAAAGCTCTCCTGTGTTTGGCTGTACCGGCTTGAGAAAGCTGGGAAGACGGCTGCCTTGTCTGTTGAGTTGGGAGTGGTCTGCATGAGGCTGGGGTTCTCCTAACCAATCTGCATGTCCCACGTCTGTAAGCCCATCCTATACTGTCTTCTTGTTTACCTGGATGTATATAAATGCACTGCAGATGCCAAAAAAATTGAGCTGCATTGACTCTCTGATCCTCTCCCAGAGTGGTATATTTCTGTCGTGCCTGCCCCCATCAGGGTGTCACTGTCAAGTTGCCGGTGAACTGACAAGTGACAATATATGCTCTAACCTAAAAACATATAACAAACAAACAAAACCCCTCAAACTCAGAATTGACTCAAAGCTTACTGTCCAGAGCATTTACTGATAGTATAAATCACATGACAGCAGACTGTGCATCTTTCTCCCTTAGAGCCCCCAAAGGTGCCTCATTTAGGTTAACAGCACAAATCCCCACAGGCTAAATTGATGGAATTGTGGGTGACAAAGCCATTCTCCATGATGCCCCATCCTTCTATGTTCCATTGCAGTAACCGTCCACCCTGTGGTCAGTGGTGATTTGGAAATAGAATTCTTGCCTTCATACAAAAAATCCTGGGTTCAATTCGCACTCAGTATAGCTTTTATGTAGCTACCACCCTTGTCACTGATATTTGCACAGGAACAAGTTTCAGCAGAATTTGGACTCTAAAATGGACAAGTAATAAAGGCTTGGGAATCTTTTTCTAAAACTTAACAAAAGCAAACCCTGTAGATTACAATAGTGTGGTATGTACCACAAGCCAGGGTCTGCTAGTGTTTTGTTCCTTTTCTCCATGGAGCGAGTCACTAGGAGCCTGAAGCTAACTCAATAGCCAATAACAACAGGAGCACTGCACCAGCAAATTTGTCTGTTTTAAGGAGTCAAATGAATGTTCTAATTTTCTAAGCTAGAACAAACAAAGGTTTAGCAATAGCTCCTCAGAGATACTATAAAAAAATCCTGCAGATTTCAAACGTCAATTTAGGGACAAAACTTGAAGTAATTAAAATAAGAGCTGAATCTCTTTGACAAGTTTTACTCTTTGTGTCTGAAAGGTTCAATGACCCCATACATGTTCAGAGACACTAGACAGCAATTTTAGAATAAAAAAGAAATGTGGAGGTTTCAAAGGACTTCAGCTTTACTAAATTGATGTTAATGTCATCATTATCTGAGAGTAGTGATTTTTGAAGCCAGAATGGCTTGCTTTAACACATCTTTTTTAAATGTTGTAGGGTGTTTTGTTGTTGTTGCTTTTTGTCTTTGAAGGGTTTTTGTTTTGTTTTGTTTTGTTCTGGTTTTAGTGATAATTATATTTTGTTTTCTTTGAAGCACCACAATTACTTTCTTCTCCTAGGTTGAGATGGAGGGTGGCAATTCCTGATTATTTCCTTGATTTCTTTCCTTCACGACTTTATGTATAAAAGTTATTTTTATTATCACAACTTAAATTACCATAAAGATAAATTATGTGGAAGCTCTTGTAAAGCATAAACCTGTAAGCTCAAGAAGGTGGGGGATTTTTTCACATTTTTGATCTAAAATGGTTTCGAAATAAGGATAACCTAACTCCACTGCTCTTGTGCTGATTCTAACTCAGAGCAACCATCCAGTGTATTTCTAAGCCATTAATCTTAGATGAGATTGCCCAACTTTCTCTCCACAAACAACTGGTGGATTCAAATTGTTAACCTTCTAGTGGGTAGCCTGGCATGTTTTGTTATACAGTACAACTACTTAATTTAAATAAAATTTCAACTCAGTTCATTGCTGTTGAATCATAACTAACACTCCAGTGGGTTTTCTGGAGGCTATAAATCCACTGGATGAGATTACATAGCTTTCTCTCCAATAATTAGTAGATTTGAATTTATAAAGATTTGAATTGATAACTCTATTTGAGTTAGTTGGGCAACTCCCTCTGGACTATACCACTGAAGTTCTTCCTAAACAAAGTCAAGCTTAAATCTTAGGAAAGGAGTGAGTCAGGGATGAGTCCTATCTCTGTATCTTTTCAATCTATATGCAGAAAAGCTAATTCAAGAGGCTGAAGTTTATGAGGAAGACTCACCAATAACTTGCATTATGCAGATAATACAACCTTGCTTATCGAAACTGAAGAGGATCTGAGGCATTTACTGCAGAAATCAAGAACTATAGTCTTCAATATGGATTGAAGCTTAACCTCAAGAAGATAAATATTCTCACCACAGGGCCAATTGACAGCACTATGGTGGATGGAGAAGAGATTGAGCTGTTAACCATTCCAGTTTACTCAACTCCAAAATCAACACTCTTCACACCAGCAGTGAGGAAATCAAAAGACAAATTGCTTTGGGAAAGTCTGCTGTCAGGGACCTCTCCAGACTGCTAAGGAGTAATGATGTCAGTCTAGAGACTAAGGTGTGCCTGATTCAGGCTATGGTCTTTGCAGTTACAAGTTATGCATCAGAGAGCTGAATAATTACTGACTAAGGATGATAGAAGAATTGATACTTTTGAGCTGTGGTGCTAGAGAAGAGTCTTGAACACCACCAGGAACCAAGGTTTTGAAGCTCTATCTCACAGACTTTGGGCATGTAGCCAGGAGGGACCAGTCCTTGGAGAAGGATATCATGTAGAGTGACAGCACAGGAAGGGAAGATCCTTGATGAAATGGATTGATTCAGTAACTGGGTCAATGGGATTATGTGTGTTGGTATCAGTGAGACTGGCTCAAGATAGGGCACGGTACAGAGCAACTGGACACAGGGTCACTATGAGTTGAAGGTGACTCGACAGCTCATAACAACAAAAACAAAATTGTATTTAATTATTAATATAGGAGTTTTGCTCAAGGGATTTTTCTTCTTTAAGAGTCCAAATACTGATAATTTTAAGATCAGGATTTAGAGTTAGAGCCACTCTAGGATCATAGCTGTGGAACTAAGTATGAGCTGGGAACAATCATGATTTTATCAGTTTATAATTTCTAAAATTTTGTGGAATTGAAAGAAAGAAAAATTTTATGGCAATGAGGAAGCCTTTAAAATGTTAAGTCAATAACTTAGATTCCATAAAAATTCTAGTGAAGAATATAAAAAGGAAAAGATCACTTGATATGTCCTTTAAGGAAATATCACTTCAGTAATTTTTTTCCTTAAGCAAAATTCTCAGTCATAGGCAACAATTTCAACTCTGAAAGTAACAGAAAGTAATGTGCTTAGTAAAGACAGCATTCCATTTTATAGAAGATTCTATTAAGTTCTCCTGCCTACTGATACAAGCTTATTCCATACATCTACAACTTGGAGTTACCTCTTACTTATTTGGCTGCTTAAGTTGCATTGTTCCAAATGATAAGAGATTAAAATCACAGTTACTATGGTATATTTAAGTCCCTAAATTTATGCTCAACAATTAACCTAATGGTTAACAGTTCAAACCCACCAAATAGTAGTACAAGACAAAGTTCTGGAGTCTGCTTCCACTAAATGATTACAGCATAAAATTGCTATGGCGCAGGACTACTCACTCTAACACATGGGGTTGTCATGAGTCAAATAGAAATTCTTAGATCCTACATTAATGTTAAGAAGACAAATATTCTCACCACTGGGCCAATTGGCAGCATCAGGACGGATGGTGAAGAGATTGAGATTGTTCACACGTTAGTTTGCTTGGCTCCACAGTCAACATTCTTGGCACCAGCAGCCAGGAAATGAAAAGACATATTGCCATGGGAAAGTCTGCTGTTAGGGATCTCTCCAAAGTACTGAAGAGCAATGGTGTCTCTCTGGAGACTGAAGTGAATCTGATACAGGCCATGGTCTCTGTAATCACTTGTTATGCATCAGAGTTGGACAATGACTAAGGAGGATAGAAGGAGAATTGATGCCTTTGAGCTGTGGTGCTGGAGAAGAGTATTGAGGGTACCATGGGCTGCTAGGAAAACAAATAGATTCATCCTGGAAAGGGTCAAACCGGGTGGCTCCTTGGAGGCAAGGATTCTGCGGCCCCGTCTAACATATTTTGGACATGTTGTAAGGAGGGACCAGTCCTCGGAAAGGGACATCATGCTTGGTACGGTGGAGGGACAGCACAGGAGAGGAAGGCCCTCTATGAGGTGGATTGATTCAGTGACTGGGGTAATTGGGATGGGTGTATCAGAGACGGTGTGATAGGCACAGGACAGAGCAGAGTTTAGGGCTGTCGCAAGCGACTCGACGGCACATAACAACAACAACTATGAAATTTACTTGTGCACAAAATGTTTTTGTTTATATTTGTTCATTCTCCTTAAAAGACTCAAAGCCATTGTTTTAGAGACGAGTGTCATTGTTGAAAGACACCATGTTGGGAAAAGTTATGAAAAAGAGGA